TCGGTTCGCCTCGGGTGAACTAAAGTTCCTGGGCCACGTCGTGAGCAACAAAGGTGTTTGCCCTTACCCCGAAAAGACGCGCGCCGTAGCCGCATTTACGCCGCCATCTGACAAAAAGGCCGGACGAAATTTTTCGGTACTTTTTGCCTTCTACAAATGGTTTCTTTCAGACTTCGTAAAGCTGTCCGCACCGTTGACGCACCTCAAAAAGTATGCCGTAAAGTTTGAGTGGACAGAAGAACACCAGCGGTCATTCGATAAGCTCAAGCAAAGACTCCAGACGTTTCGATTCTTGGCAATTCCGACTAGTTCGCTGAAACAGATTCACAGGGACGCCAGTAACACCTGACTTGGCGGGGTACTGGTCCACAGGCTGGAGGGAGCAAAGCGAGTGATCACCTTTTTTCAAGTCAGAACGTAAATCGGAGAGGAACTACTCAACGACTAAAAAGGAGTACTTTGCTGTCGTCTGGGAAATAACGAAGTTACGCCCGTATTTATGTAAGAGTCCTTTTCGCGTGGTCACAGACAACCATTCGTTTTGCTGGCTCGTGAATCTGGAGGACCTCTCCGGACGCCTCGATCGGTAGAGCCTACGACTGCAGGAGTTTGAAATGACCCTGGCCTGGTGTACAAGTCCGTCCGGAAGCACAGTGACGCAGACTGTCTGTCAAGGGCCCCTGTCAAAGCCGAACCCGCTTGCTCCGACGATGATGACAACGAGTGTTTTCTCGGCGAAGTAAACGGCAGCGACATGGCAGCTTTTCAATGAGCTTATCCTCAACTGCGAGCCCCCATCGAGCTCTAAGAGGGACGACGGACTACAGTTCCCCAAGCAAGCCTTCTTACGAGCTGTGCCAACCTTCGCCATTCGCCAAGGTGTGCTGTTCAAAGAGAAATTTGGCAACAGCAGTTCCTACCAGCAGTTGCAAAGGTGTCTTTCAAGGATGCTATTATGACCCGACGGCTGGGCGCCTGGGATAAAGCGGAACACTTGCCAGGATACGTAAATTTTACTGGTCCAAGCTCCAAAAACTGTACATAACTAGACGAGGTCCTGCCACGAATGCCAACGACGGAAGAAACCACCGATGAAGCCGGCAGGACTTTTTCACTCATTGCACCACCGACCACTCCGTTCGAGCAGGTCGGAATGAATTTTCTCGGCACATTCCCGCCTTCAGAGCAAGGCAACAGGTGGATAATTGTCACAACCGATTACCTAACACGATACTTTGAGACGAAAACCCTTTCATCGTGAACTACCGTGGAAGTCACCAAGTCTTTCGTTAAATTCTTCGTCCTCCGGCACAGATCCCTCGAGATCCTGATTACAGACCGAGGATCATCGTTCATGGCGCAGCGAACGCAAGAGGTCCTTTTTCTCAGCCACACCAGTCAAAGTCGAATCAAGGCGCACCATCCCCAGGCCAACGGGCTGACGGAACAGCTGAACACGATCGTCGCCGACACAATGTTAATGTACACTGACGTGTAACACAAGACGTGGGGCGAAGTTTTGCAGTATGTTACGTTCGCAGACAACAAAGCGGTTCAAAAGACCACCGTAGTTTTACCATGTTAGATCGGTCACAGTCGCAAGGTAACAACGATGCACAACGCTATGCTGCCCCACGAGCTAGATGCCGACGGGAGCGACGACGCCCAAGTAGTTGCTCAATGGGCAGAAGTCTTCCAGCTCGCCCGTTTCAGGATTCAAGACCAGAAACGTGTCGACGCTGCATGCTACAACCTCCGTCGTCGGGATGTCCACTTGCAGTCCGGAGACGGGGGTTTGGGCGTGGACACCGATCCGTCGCCGCAGCCTGAGTGAGAAGCTGTTAAAGAGGTACCTTTGAACCTGACAAGAGTCTCCGCCGCCTAGGGGATTTGAACTACGAAGTGGCGCTTCACAGAACCCAGCTTTCTTCATGCCGCCGGCCGGGACTAGGGGTGATTTACATCGTTCGCCTCAAGCCGTTCTATGCTGAATAGGACTGAGGACGTTTCGTGTTCCGTCTTAGTCTATAGTGCGCCGTTCTTTCGGTTTGCTTTGTTTTTTGTTGCATTGGGTCCATGCACTTTCTAACGGGAGAGTAATGCTGCGCGCGCAGACAGCCAAGTAGGCAACGCACCCGTGACCAAATTGTTACCGCGCATGGCTCCCACACAAAGAGCCGATGTTCGATGACTGGGAGCGGACGCAACATTTTGTTATTCCTCTGAATGTCGCGTTTTGGTGTATTCGAGTATTATGTTGCTTATTCGAGGACCCAATATTCCACACGCGGAACCTTCTACGCCGATCGTTCCAGAAGCCGATGCGTGTACTACTTAAGGAACTCCACGTGGAGAGCCGGAGTCCCTCTTATGCCTGCGCTTGATCCTGTTGTTACGCCACCTTCGACGCCTGCGACGCTAGCCTGTTTCTATTTTGTTTTGGGCATAAATTTGTCCCATTACACGTTTTGTTTCTTCCAGTCACTTCACGCCTCGTCAATTGTCATTCGTAACAATAAAACGAGCCCTGTCATAGACGTATACTTCAACTTTTTTTTATTTTTTCGTAGATACGTTATTGAGGTCAATTCAAGTAGTTTCACATTGCGGAGGGAGTTGTTCAAATACACATAATTTTTCAGTCAATCGCAGTCTTCAAACATTATTAAGTATGTTATTCCTACCCCATGATTAAGTTAAAAAATGTGTAAACGTTCAAACCTATATCTTTGTGGTACGCTAGCTGCCTGTGGCTCTGCCTTTAAGTGGGACAGAAGGGGACGAAGTAGAGGAAGTTACGTCACTGAAACACGATCACGATGTTGCGTTTTTGTCTCCGAGGTCAAAGTTAATTTTATTGACTAAATGCTCTGCCCCGTCATTATGATTTTGAAAGAGGCGCCTCTGTTCGGATACAAACAATGATTAATTTTTTTTTTAAACTTACCTTCTTCGACAGAGTGTACTCTTTTATTTTAGATATACTGTAAAGGACTTCATTTTAGCGGGCTCAATATTTCCAGATTTCGGCGCATTGTATAGTTCTGAAAAAAAGTTCGCGGCCACAAAAGTTTGCGAATAAGAATGGTATGCTGTGCATTTTTCACCATGAGAAAACATATTCGTGGGACCTATTTTTCGCGATAATTCAAAAATTGCGAAATCCGAGAAAATTAGGTTTTCGCAAGAAATAAGGCGTTTATAGTATAACAAATCAGCGTTTACCGGATTGTACAGCCTCACGAGTCATGTTTACTATTGCGTCAGTACTGTAATGATTCTGGAATATTATGCTCACCGCCCAAGTACACCTAAAGGAACGCGTCGTTTTCGCGGATAATGATTTCACTTTTGTCTCAAGCTCTCTCTCTCGAACTCCCATCTTTTCCTCTTCCGCTCTTTCATTCCGTGATCTGTTTTCTAAGAAAAAAAACTGTCCTCAATTTATTTCCATTCGGTTTATTTATTTCAAAGGGTACACTCTTTGAAACGGCTCTTGGCGCCGAAGGCGATCGTGTTGTCCGACGAGGCACCGAGGCCCAGGCAAGCTTGCCATCATTCGGATCGCGTGAACATTGTCTTTAGTAAAATGGAATTGACGTTTTTTATCCGCTTAAACGATTAGCGGGCTACTTGGCATACAGCTAAATATTGGAGGCTATTATTTTAAACAGTTTTCTGGAAGGAACGCAAAAGCAAAAGTTGTCTGCGAACGTAACATATGAATATTTTGTTGGCTAGGAAAGTGCTTGAAAAAAAAAAAAGAAACGCGGCTGAAAGACGCAATTTCTCTCTACCAAATGAAAGCAGTGTACACCACCAAAACGTCAATGCGTGAATGCTCACTAAATTCCTTGAAGCCCTTGATGAACAGACGTTGATGGAACTTGTCAGTTTCTATGTCTGCTGACGGCAAAAAAATCAGCGTAGAATAGCCTGCGCTGTTTGACAAGAGAACCAAACACGAAACTATATCTGCAGGAGGCATTGAAAGCCCAATGCCGCTATTCTGAATCAGTTGCGTCTGTGAGTCTACCATAGTTCAGTCGCGCGTTTTAGGAATATGTAGGTCAACAGCATATCATATTTTGAAGTCTGCAATATCCCCGCACGTGCGAAGGAAAAAACAAAACGAGCCCTATATATATTGTTAATTTTCTGCAAAATAAGCTATGACATTTTTTTCAATTTAAGCAGCCAGTTTAATTCGAAATAGAATAGTTTCGTCCACGAAACGCACAAAGAAGGAAAAATAATACGCATTATTTTTGTGCTATTTAAAGCAAACGCAACTGACAAATATTTAGTATAACTTTTACTTGCGCTATTTTCAATGTTACTGGCTTCAAGTATCCAATCACATTTGATGAAAGCTTTGAAATCACGGGAGTTCAGTAAACGCGACCGCAAAAGAAGTGATTTGAAAAGCCATGAAAAAAGATATGCGATGCCTTATTTAGGAGCGGGTATTTTATTACATTGTATTTTCAATACCTTTCCTCTTTATACAAAAATGCAATTATCGAGCGCTCTTGCTCCAAAAGTGAACACTAAGTGAAAAATGTAAACTCGCAACTAATTAGCTGCGATAACGCGGGATTACTTATGACTTTCGCTCTTGGCTCCTTCTTATGTGACAATCTGTTACCGAAAATAGATTATTTTATCTTCGTCTGTTTCAACAAGCGACGCACCCTTACCTCTCTTTATCTCAACGATGTCTTAAGGAGCATTCCCTGCACCTTAATTAGCCTTTTGAGTACACAATTCTGCTCATTCAGACTTTTTACGACGGTCAAAATCATTGTACCTACAATGCTTCAAGTTCCTTATATGCCCATTTCCCCTGCCCGAAGAAGCTCTTCCTTAGTTTTGCAAGAGTAATATTTAGGTGCTGGGATTTCCCATGCTTTTTCAGATTTCTCGTATAATACAACACCTGACCGTATTTCGGTCCTAATACAAAATAAGAAAAACGTGGCAGAAGACAGCTAGCGTACCGGTGACGACGAGTTTGAGCACCTTGGTGACTCTCCTGACAGAGTCGTCGTCCCCGAACTCCCGGCACTCCCAGAGGCCGTCGTCTGCCCTGGTCACCTGGGTGATGGTAAGGGCGGCCGTGCCGTCGCGCGAGATGTTCCACTGGCGACGGCCGCCGGCACCCGAGCCCACGTCGAGCACCACGGGGTGGCCGTTGCGCATCCACTGCACGCTGCCGCCGGGCGTCTCCAGGAAGCACGGGATGCTCAGGCTTTCCCCGGGGTTCACCACCTGATGGACGTCGAGGTCGGGAAAAAGGTGTAGGGTGTCTCAAGCGGACCTTCGGCTGTAAAACGTGCCAGAAAAATCGGCGCCTACAGATAGTAAGCTTAAACTTTCACCGAATGTGCAGTGAGTAGGTTAGTTTTACCGTGTGAAATCTCAAGGCGCAGATCACGTTTTGCAAAAAAAGAATAAGTGCAAAATACTTACTAAAGCCCATGTTAGGCCCGTTCGCAGACGGCGGAGTGGAGTGGAGTGGAAGAACGTTTATTGATTTCCGATTCTACTCTGGCGATAACACTTCGGTAGGGTCAGAGGGGGACGTACAGGAGGTGTAACGAGAGTGGATTGTGAAAGTTTTATTGGAAAAATTGCGTTGTTGGATGTTTGGAGGGGAGAGAGGCTTAGATTTCATTCCCGAGCTTCGTCCTCTCAAGGTAGTTAGAACAGGGCCCAGGATATTGCTTCTATGGCTGATGTCACCTGTCGGGTGCAACCAGTCTTCGAACTGCTTCGGCCTGTTTTGCGCAGCGATTGATGCAGGAGCGGCCTCCAGCTCGTTCTTAAAGTGGCAGCACTTCCACATGAAATGAGTCATTTCGGGTACTGTCTGGGCCTTGCAGAATGGGCCTGTTGCCTTTGTAAGAACAAAGTTTGGCTTTTTCCGTAAGCTTGCGGTGTCTGTCCATTTCTTCGTTTCGACTTGTACATCGGCACTTTCTGTCCTGATTCTTCGCAGGAGTACTATCTAGTATCTTCTGAAGCATCTAGGAGTAGGATTGTCTTTCCCTTTATTTCGTTTAATTAATCGTTTTTGAGATGGCGTTGCCGTTCGCTATCCGTCCGACGGTGTTGTAAGGAGCAGTGGTTTGGTCAGCGGTCTGAGTCCCTGGCCATGCATGGAGCAGGCATGGACCGGGACCCTTGCCAACATCGGTGTTGCGGAGGAGGAGACGGTGGTACGCTATCGCCGCACCGTTAGCGATCTCGTTGCGCCTAATTCCCTCATGTCCGCTCCAGGGATCTCTTTCAAGACTGCTTTAGTGCCTTTTGTCTTCGTCATTATGTCTAATTTCTGGATTTCTTTAATTAAAGGGGTGATTTTGTGGTGCGTCTGGCAGGCATTCATTGTTTCTTGTGAGTCCGTGAAGATTGTTACTGTAGAGAACTTTTGTCGGACTTCGATTTTGATGTCGAACCTCGAGGTTCGACTGGTTTACCGAACCTTCGACCTTTCACTAAAGTTCAAAGAAGTTCGACTTATGGACAGTGTTTCCCGGCTTCTACACGTGTATTTCAAATTTTGGGAAATAAATAATTTAGAAAGTAGTTTATTTTATATTTTATACAATGGTTACCAATATTTACACCATATAAAACCTAAAATAAGCGCTTTTAATAATTTCGTTAGCTAGTAATATGAATCAGTAATGCCAATACGCCCAACAAATATTGGACTTTTCTCCCACAAATCAAGTGTGTTGTCCTTTTTCCCCCAGTCTGGGGGTTTTGTCCAAAATGTTAAAAATAAAGTCAACCCTTTCTTGTTTTTTTTTTTTTTTTTTTTTTTTTTAGTTGTTGCGCATGCGCACAAAAGTCGAACTTCAGTCGAATCTTTGTCGAACATCACGTTGAAAGTTCGAAAAAGCCAAACTTGGTCAACCTCGAACCTGAGCCGGTTCGCGACATCCCTAATTACGACCTTTAATGCCGCATGGATGGGCTTTACCGACGCTATTAGCTTGTGGCTCCATCTACCGATACGCGCAGCCAGCAGACGACGCACTTCGTTGTCTGATTGCTGCGGCTGTCGGCAGATGGTGCAGCAAGTTAATTGCGCTCCGCTTGCGGAGCAGAGTACCGCAATGGTGCCATTCTGGAGCCAAGCACTGCGGGAAGCCAAGGTCGGTTTTCCCAGGGGACACGAAGGCGCGGACGCGAGGCGACGTGCTGTGGCGTGCTGCGGCGCGCTACGTAAGGAAAATAGTGCGGCTGACGAGAACGCCGTCCCCTCGCTTTTGGACGAGAGGGACGAGAGCTCGCCGACTCGCCGAGATAGCCGGATGTGCCGATCGCGCATCACTCCGCGAGAGCCGCAGACGCGAGCTACGCGATCGTCGGCCGTTTCGTCTGCTTTCCATACCTTGGAAACGGATATCCTAAAACATCGCTCGCGTTATAAAAAAACAGGATTGTATTGTACCCAGTTGACGCACATAGTGTCCAATGAGTTATTAAGCTTTCGGTTCGTTCGACTTTAGTCTAGGATCTATATATTGCGAACTCAAAGCCGAAAATATGTTCCCCCGAAACTCGGCGCTCTAGAAGGCCGCTTTCCCGCACAAAGGTCGGATCCAGCTCTGCGCACGTGACCACTCCTCCGCCAATACGGAGATGGCGGCGAAAGGAAAAGGAACGCGATACTCTGGCTCTGCAAGCAGAGCCTATACAGTTACTCTAATTGCGCTGTCGACTCGGCCGTTCGCAGACGGGCCTAACGTAAACCTTGACGAATTTTTGCTCTCATTTTTCCCAGGAAGGAAACTACGCCTTGATAGTTCACTCCGTAAGACGGACCGCTTCGCGAAAACATGCGCTTGGCCGTTGCTCTCGTGTCAGGCGTTGCGGGAGGGGGGTGAGGGACTGCGGCCGCTTCTGCTCCTCTCGTGCCGAGGAACATGGCGGCGCCTGTGGCATCAATATCGTCGGCAGCCGCAACCTCGGCAGTAGCGAACGTAGCCATCCACGCCAGTACACCGCAGACGAACCAAGGGAGCGGAAGAACGACATTAATGCTTTCGCATTCACAACTCATAAGAAGTTCTTAGGTGCCCTTAAATTTCTTTGTTTGTTTCAGATTTAGTTTTTCTAGGTGTTCTCTAATTACTTTTTTAGCGTCTACGCCACCGCATAGAGGCTTATAGGATTCACTTGATATATTCACGCGAGCGTGAAGAAGTTGGAACGCACACGGCTGCCACGCGGAAGAACGCGGTTCGAATCCACTCCGCCTGATTTTTTCTTTAATCGATCAATCTTCTGAGAAGTTACAGCCTATTCTTGGCTGTAATCGCGTGTTGTGGTTCAGCACATTCCTGAGCATACCGCCTGTATGAGAGCAGCGGTAATGCGCGGCTTAGGGTCAGTGACTCTTCCGTCGCCGACGCAGGATGCTTGATACATTATCTTAAAGTTTGTAGGCACAAGTTCGCCTTATTAAACACTCTTTCCAGTTATTTGTTCGTTTTTTGTTTAATTTGCTATCCGTGACAATTTGATCGGAGCGCGAAACTTTTTTTTTTTTTTTTTAAGGTTAGCACATTTCGATATCAATATGGGGCTCAGATTGCTCATCCCGTATGGAGGCAACGGTAAACAATTAGGTGGCAGGAACCCCCAGGTTTAGCGAGGATTTTAGCAAACCCATGTGCGAAGTACATAAATGAAGAAAAAAGATTATAAGACGCGCGTCCCTTTTTTCAGCTAGAACGGTAATTAGGTTCCAGAAGCTTTTGTTCTAAAGCATGATTTTGAACTCGTCCTGAAAGAAGTACATCAGAAAAAAAGAAAGATGATCCGAGTACTCTCGCGTGATGCGCGATTGCTCTCCCCGTTCTGACGACCGATGTACATGAACTCCTGTGGGGCTCAATGCCTTTTACACACCGTAGCTAATGTACTAATAATAGCAATACAAGCCCATACTGCTCGTTGCCTTAGCCACACTAGAACTCAAAGCTAGTATAGCTTCAGTGCATTTAGTGCTTCTCTTCGACTACTCAATATATATATATATATATATCATGACCTACTCTTTCCTGTCAAAGAAAGAAACGTGTATAGATATCGGTTTTCCAATAATTGATTTTACATTTGCGGAACTTGGTTTTAATTCGCCAATATTTTCTCCGAAAGTGAGCAGACCTGCTGCAATATGAGAGTGAGCAGAATCAGGGGGGTGGATATTCCGGGAGCGGTTCTCCAGACCGGTCTGCTTGGAAAGAAATAACGTACTTTCTCAATGCCCCCCCCCCCTCCTTTTTTTTTGGGGGGGGGGGGGAATGGACAGAAAGTTTAATTATATTAGTCGTTTTAATATAAAACGTGAGCGCCAATATATGTGGCACATCGGCTAGGCCTACCTAAAAGAAATCATAATACTAGACTTTTAAAAGCATATTCTTAGGTAAATACGACCTTTGAACTTTCTTTCTAAGTCATCACAGAACACAACTTGTCATATTCACACAACTCCCCACTATTAACTTATCTGAAAACCTGACTGCCAAATGCCATAATTTAGAACAGCATGAGATATTTACAGCTCCTAAATAACAAGTTCTTTGGACAAGGGTGGTTGTCGTTTACATGGTATGGGCGCAACAGGAGAAATTGGTTAGATACGTGCTATCTTTATTGTATTTGCGAGACTGAATATTCGAATTAGGTCGGAATTTCGACACCATTAACGTGCTAGCCAGAATCAGACAAAACGAGTGCTTTAGTAGATCGTTTCGATAACCCCGATAACGATACCCGATATTCCGCTAACGTCATTGAGCAAGCATCGTATCGTTATCGTGTGTCGCTATCGGAGGTAACCCAACGATTTTCTAAAACTCCCCAATACCATCTTAATGTACTAAAACAAAAATCAATTTCGTTACTTTTTCTGGTGGCTCGGCGCTTGTAGGGGCTCCAGCCCCAGACGGGAAACCAGCAGCTGTTGCGTAAGCGACATGCGCAGCACGAAAGATGACCATAAGGATGGTAAGAGTATGGACGCTCCGACAGGTGCGCCCTAGAAAAAAAGGGGGAAAAAGAAATATGAACCAAGGTAACACATCACGTTATTACTGCATCATACTAGATATATGATAAAAGAACGTTTCCGGCTCAGCTCAGAGCCATTATTGAATCAATAGTTTACTCGTTCTTTACCGAATATTTCAAAAGTGCAAGCAATATGAATACCACTAAACATCCGTGCCCCTGTGCCGCGACAAGCAAGCCTAATGTTGGCCTCCCAGGTATAACTCCTTCACTAACAGAGAGGAACTAATTCGACTCTGTCACGGCCATCCATGTTTGAGTTGAGATTTTTCTTTTTTACCTGTTCTATAAGGTCGTGGTGAAGGCATATTACAGACATTTAGCAGACTGCTACCGTCACATCCTGAACGTTACCGCTATGCCGTCACTTAGCTGAGAAATAATAGTAAAAAAAAAAGGTTTAGGAAACTCATTTTATATCGTCTTTTTTTCCTTTTGGGCAGTTTGCAAACACGTTTTCTTACGCAATTCGTTATGGTGCCTGGTTTCGTTATGGCGGCAAATGTAACGGTGAAAAAGTAACGTTATGATAAAATTGTCTAATGAAACATGGCTTTTTTCTTTTGTCATAACGAAAATGTTTCACTTAGAAAAAAGTGGATATTACATGCCATCATGAGCAGCACAGCTCAGTTTGTATTTCGTTTTGTGATGTTGGGTAGTTCCTGTTTCGTCCCTCGCAGTAATGCCCCATAAATTAGCCAATCAGGAGTCTCATACTTATCTTGCGTCTAATGCCAGGTTTTAATTATACACAAAATGCACTAATATTGAAGAATGCATAAAGCCACTTTATTACCCACAAGGTAGCAGCCATTTCGCAAAAAAAAATTTTAAGTTTCACAGGTCAAATTTATCTAGCAGATGGTGCCAAAAATTAATACCACTGTGCCGCATTGCCTATTTTATTCTATTAATACTAAAAGCATTAGCTGTCACACGGAGCGAAGCGGCGTTTTCGACTTTTGAAGCCGCCCCAAACGGCGCATAAATTTCCCTGTCTCATGTAGCGAAGCCTGTAGTCTATAGCAGCCATCCCTTTGGCTAGAGCGCGGCGTAGTTCCAAGGAACACCACTCCACAGACAAGCCCTCTCCATGGCGCAGCGGGCCGGCTGCAGGTAAGAGGGAGCGGCCGGCCGCAGAGCCAGCAGAGCCCGTCCGGGCAGACTCCTGTGAGGCCGCACGGCCGAGCTCAGTAGCTTAGAAGAATACGCTACATATACGAATACTTTCGGATACCGACACGTTAGCAGTCTTAAGTGTCTTACTTTTTTTTTTTTTTCGTGAAACAACAACCACAACAAAAATATCGCCTCCTGTCTTGAGCAGGTTCGGAATAAGATACGGGCTAAGGGAGCTGCAACGCAGGAGTTCCGAACCTCAGAGGCCCAATGCTGTGAGTCGTAGGAAAAAAATAAACAAAAATATTTCTAACAAAATAATAAATAAATAAGTAAATATATATATGTATTTTTTTTTTCTCTAATAAGATAAGACAACATATTTTGAAAAACATTCCCGCTGCATTCGAACAGACAGGCATGACAAGTATGATGGCACTGCAAGCGAAATTAAATAACACTGCGCGGCGATTTTCGTTTCCTAATTCATTTTCTGTTTGTAGAGAAAAGCCCATAAATTTGAAGTGTGACCGGCCCCCCATGCTACTTCTCCATGTTCTTTTTTTCAAGACAGCTTTGAGGAAAAAGCCCTCTTTGGAAAAATAAAAAGGAAGCACCATAAATGGTGTCTCCCTCTATCCTCGTGAATATTGTGCTCGTGCCTACTTTCACAGTGCCTGCAAAAGTGTGTTCTTGAAGAGCGGCCTTTGAACTCGATGCTCCACGGCGGAGGGGACAGAGGTGTTGTCTCTGCAAAAATCTAAGCAAAGTTTTTTTTTTTTTTTTTTTTTTTTTTTTTTTAAATTAAAGTTAGGCAAAATGCCTATACCTTTTTATTTTCTTTTTTTCTTTTTGGGCGGGGCGGGGGGGGGGGGGGGGGGTTGAAAACAATAGTGTGCTTTCAGCCATATCCGTGCTTACGCTGAAAGCTGCACAAATGGTTTTACTTCTCAAAGTATTCACTGTTTCCATGCTGGACCGTTTAAAAAGCAGGTACCATTGAGCAAAGTGGATAACGTGTTTCTATAACAATGAGTTTGAACTGCCTCCGCCTATTACAAGCCAGAAGAAATTTCGTCAGCCTTCGCGGAAGAAGTTACATATGCACTCTAAAAAAGTTCCGTGCGTCTGCTTTCCCGCACAACACTCGGAGAGCCAATCAGCGCAACTTACGGAAGCAGCCAAGCGAATAACGATGTCAAAACATATGTTTAGACCAAAAAACGCACTCTGAGTTGTGACATTAAGCAATGCAAAACGTCACGCTTGCATTGCTTAATGTCACAACTTAGACTGCGTTTTTTGGTCTAAACATATGTTTCGGCATCCTCATTCGATGATCTGCCTACGTAAGTTGCAGTGATTGACTCTCCGAGTGTTGTGCGGGAAAGCAGACGCACGGGCTTTTTTTAGTGTGTGGGAGCATTCTTGGGAATTCATAAAAAAGAAATAACGACAGAGAAGACAGCGCTGCAAACAGCAAAATGGAGGATATTCTTAGCTACTGGGCTTCATGTTTCTGCCTCTGAATGTCCGATTTTGTTGAATCAGAGAGTTAAAATACACAGAAGCCAACCAGATCACTTATTCGACTGCCCCAGTCCTATTTCAGTGCTTTGATTTGTGTCACGAAAACTGGCTATTCGGACGAGGCTGTTCTTCGGGTGGCACATTTCCTTTAAATTCGCAGTCGAAATATCATGTCACAAGAATGTGATTGCTGCGTGTAAAAGAAAATCACAGTTTCAAAAAGAGGAAAGTTAGAAAAGCTTGTGGGAACCATTGGGTTCCCTCTATCCCTATCTAGGCCTAGCTTCAAGCAGGCCGTGGGAGTCGTCGTCACCAATGGCGTCGGCCTCCCGGATACAAGGAACCACGAGGCCGAATTCCCCGAAGGGGCCGGTTCTCCCTTGCCCTTTTGGGTGAACGCGCCATCGGCACACCCTTGGGAGTGATTATGGACGCGTCCCGTTTTCGAGTGACCTTCTACCGGCCTCCCCGGGCGCGTCTATTTCCCGCAGGCTACATAAGCCGGCCACCCACCTGTGGCCGGGGCTCTTGGTTAGGGGGGGCTACGCTCGACGGAGTATTCATCGTTATTTTCCTGTTCCCCCTTTTCCGTGATCCTGCCAGTTCCGGCAGCGCGGACCCTTCTCCTGGTGATCCTGTCAATTAAGGCAGCGCCAACCTCATTTCTCTTTTGTTCCGCCTACGGGCGCAAAGCGTGTGGCGTAAGGCCAATAAACACGTTTCTACGGTATCCCTGTGTTTGGTGTGGTCTCCCGTCCACCGGAGCCTAACGGCAGTCAACGGACGGACCCGGCCGTAGCCGCCATAGCAGCGAACTACGGAGTGGGTGTTGCCTCACAGCGATCAGCAAGGTAAGTCGAAACCTACTTTATTGCATCCGACGAGTTACGGAGTGGGTATTTGCCTCACTGAGGACTTTGGGGTAAACTAGAATCCCACAAGCTATCGAATTTTACCTAATATGTCCCCGGTCGTCTTAAGACATTGAAAAAAAAAATAAAAATCTCTGCCGTCAAGATTATTAAGAAGTATAAAAACTAACTTAACTGCCAAGGAGACTAACCTGATATGCTGGTTCATCTGCTCTGTTCAATCCCGCTTACTACTGCGTGTGTGCGCCCGCCACGGGCCACCTAACAATACGCCCTCATAGCCGCGAAGACCGCCTCTAGGGGTCCCTCCATCAGCGTGTTTAACACTGTTTCTCACGCATCAGTGGCTATATGCAGTGAACTGTACCGGAGCCAGTTGCTGTCCATGAAAGTAAAGGTGTCTCAGAAATACTTGCATCTCCTTCCATAGATTCTGACAACTGCCTGTAATTATATGCGTAACTCCTCGAGGTAAGAGTCATCCGCGTAGAAAGCGACCCGGTAAAGTGGCCTGCCGCCATACCTGATAACTTTCGAACCCAGTGCATCGAGAAAGAATCGCAACACTTCTCAAATTGACCTGTATATTCTCCTACTTCTCAGAAAGAGGACACTTGCATTTTTGTAAGAAAGGCCGCTAGTCACAGTGAAACTGTCCAAACAACACCTCACGGCCCAAAGCGTGTGTTCTGTTTCGTGCGCAAATCGTTCGAGGTTCAGAGCAGACCGAGAGATAATGCGGTTCACCGGTTTTGTGTTCTAAAGTTGGCGAAAAAAAAAAGGCCGCTGTCTTGTGGCCAGTTCAGTTCGGCACTTCTGACTTAGAGCGCTCGCTGGAATGTAAGTCAGGGCAGTCATTAGATTGCCGCAATCCGTTCACCTATAAAAGTAATTTCTTGAAGTTATCACATTTCTCCTCTTTTTCAATGATAACGTTGCTCATAAATGAAACTCAAGAAGGTACAAATAAATGTAAAAAAAATTAAATTAACTTGGGCTTTCCAAAATGTACCTTATTAATTAGTGATGTCATCACCATCGTTCGTTGTGCTCATCATCATAATCATGATCATTATCATGAATGCCTCAGAAGCAGCTTTAACCCAAGGCAGCGAAATTTCTTAGTCCGGCTCTGTCCTCGAGGGCAAATCAAGAAACGAATGAAAGGGGAGCTTATTTGTAAAAAAAATCGCAAGACTTTGTGGAGATCAGCCATTCCTGACGTAACTACCAGAGTAGGCCCCTTTTCTTATACAAACAAAGATAATGACCCAATCTACGCAAAAACACTTGTTTTATTAATTTTCATTCCTTGTCCAGCTAAAGGCTGGAACACGTGTACAAAAAAACAACGGTAAAACAAGCGAAATCTGTGACTTCAAAAAAAACAAAAAAAAAAACGCTCCGAAAAAAAAAAGTAAAAAAAAACGCAAAACAT